AAATAATTTCCCATGATGAACCTAAAAATCATATTTTTCACAAAAAAATATTTAATTGAATGTTTTGTTTTTTTGGTTTATTATAAATACCTCCTGGTCGATCAATAGGAATAATAATTTGTCCTGGATAAGTTCTATTAACTGGTATTATTGGTAATTGACAAAGATTTCCAGTAAATGTTGATGAACATAAACATGTACATTGACATCCTGTAATATTCACAATACGTGTACCATTATTTTGACATAATGTTAATGAACATATATCTAATGGAGTTTCACATCGGGATCCTTTATTAAAATTAATCATAATTTTTTAATAAATAAACAAAACAAAAAAAAAGAAAATTTGAAATTTCTTACCAGTAAATCCACATGGACATTGACAACGTAAAGTATTATTTTGAATCAAACAAGTACCACCATTAAAGCAATTACCTGTTACACAAAGTGGAATTTCACAATTGGAACCTAAAGCAAAAAAATGTTTGATTTTCAAAAGACAAAAAAGAAAGAAAGATTTTAAATAATGTCTTAGAAAAATAATTTTATTACCTGTAAATCCTACTGGACATGTACAAGTATAAAATCCATCACCTAAATTCCTACAAGTTCCACCATTCATACCTAAAATAATCAAATGAATCTATTGAAAATTTCATTATTCTTTTATATTTACATGGATTTGAAGTACAAACATCAAATGGTATTTCACATGCATTACCTAAATATAAATAAACCAAATAAATAATTAAATTAAAAGAAATTCTTTACCAGTAAAACCAGGTTCACATGCACATTGAAATGAAGTTGAATTTCTATTTTGACATGTACCTCGTATACAGGGATTTGAACCACAAGGGGATAGAATTTCACAACTAACAAAAAAAAACAATTCAATTATAATAAAATTCTATTCTTAATTTTGCATAAATATTTGATTTTTGTGAAACACGATCTAAAAAGAATGTTGAAGTATAGGGGTAGAACTTTATATTCTCCCCACAGATATCCTATCCCTTCGGCTGCTATGGTTGAATGGCTACATTGTTTGACATGTATTAAAAAGGTACTGTATTTAAAACTCGGTACCACCAGCTATGGAATGATTTTCAGGTAACGAACTTTCAATGTCTACTTACTGAACACCAGGTTTTTCGAAAATACGAGTTTTCTGAAAACTTGGAATTCAGAAAATAGACATATGGAAAATTTGTTACTTTAGTTAAATATTGAAAAGGAATACCTGAAGAAGTTTCCTTGTAAGCAACACCTCAAACCGTAAGCTAGCTAAAAGGCAGATGTATTCTTCCTTCCCCTTCTGTCATCGACTGCGATAGACATTGTAGATAACTCTTGTTTTACATTTTAATCTCGTAGAGATTGCACTAACAGTTTTTGTAAATTAACTCGAAAAACTTTTTAATAGAAATGAAAACTTCAACTTGTAATGTTTCTTAATCTTTCAAAATCTGATTGAAAAAAAAAACTTTTTTTAATTATCTAAATTATCACGAAAAATAAAATATATTTTTGTTTTTACTTACTAAACACCATAACGTTCAGGTGGACATTGACAAGTCTGTACACCTGTCAATGGATTAACAATACAAGTTGAATTTCCTTGACAAGGATTACTTGAACAAATAAGTATTTGTATAGAACATTGTAAACCTGTATACAATGGTGGACATATACATGTATAATTTGTTAATGATAATGTGAAACAAGTTGCATTATTTAAACATGGATTCGAAGAACATGGTAATAATGGTATATCACAATTAATACCTGTCATTAATGATGGACATAAACATTGATAACTACCATTTGGAAGACTTATACAAGTTCCTGTTCGACATGGATTTGATGAACAACCAAGAAATATTATTTCACAACGAGAACCTTATATAAAAATTAATTGAAATTTTTTTTTTTTGTTTTTTAGAATTTATTATCAACTATACTTACCAGTATATAATATTGGACAAATACATGTCCAATATGGATAATTTCCTGTTGATACACAAGTACCATTATTGATACAGGGTAATGATCGACATGGTTCATAAATTTCACAATTTGTTCCATAAAAACCCGAATTACAAAAACATAAATATGATCCATAAGAATTTAAACATCTACCATTATTTGCACAAATACCTGGAATTGTTGTACATTCATTTATATCAACACATCTACAAATAGAAAACAAATAAATCTAATTAACTTCATTAAAATTTATTTTAAATTTAACATACACTCCCATTATATATTGAAATCCAACTGGACAATTACATATATAAGAATAATTTCCATTAGCAATACAATTACCAATTAAACATGGATTTGCTTGACAAACATTTATTTGACATAATGTACCATAATATGGATATGGACATTGACATTGACAATTTATTGGAGATGTTATCATGGATGTACCATTTCCACATGAATAATATGAACAAGGATTAATTTGTATTTCACAATAACTTCCATTATAACCTGCTGGACAAGCACATGAATATGTTAAAGGACCAGTTCGTATACATGTACCCATATTTCTACATGGATTTGATATACATGGATCATATGGTATTGAACATGTTGTACCATTAAAACCAGGTGCACATACACATGTATAATTATAATAAATAGGTGATGATATACATTGTGATAATGGTCCACGACATGGATAACTTGAACAAGGATCACATGCTAATTGACAATTAACACCATAAAATGGCCATGGACATTGACATATATAATAATTTGATGTTGGCTCTATACATGTACCTCCATTTAAGCATGGACGACTTGAACATACATGAAGACTTATTTCACAATTTGTACCCGTAAATCCACTTGGACATAAACATATATATGATGATGAATTTAATGAAATACATGAACCTAAATTTTGACATGGCTGTGATGTACATGGTGCATATGGATATTGACATTGAAGACCAGTAAATAATGGTAAACATTGACATATAGCACTTGGTGTTGATGGAAGATTTATACATGTACCATTATTTAGACATATCAATGATGTACATTGATTAATTAGAATTTCACAATTAATACCAGCATAACCAGGTAAACAAATACATTGATATGTATTAAGTCCTTGTACACAAAGTCCATTATTTTGACAGGGTCTTGATGCACATGTATTTATTAATATAGAACAATTTTGACCAGTTGCACCAGGTAAACATATACAACGGTAACCATATATGGCATCTAATATACATTGACCATAAACACATGGTGTTGTTAAACATAAATTTATTGATGTTTCACATCGTTGTCCAGTATAACCTTGATAACAATCACATATATAACTATTTGTTTGATCTATTATTCGACATTGTCCATATAAACAAGGACATGATGCACATACACCTTCGGATAATCGTGTATCACAACGAAGTCCACTATAATTAATTGGACATGTACAATTAGCTAAACCTGGTCCAAGATAATTACATGTTCCACGAATACAATATGAAAGATTTCCTATTGTTGTTTGACATAAATTAATCGGTGTTTGACATAAATTTCCTGTATAACCACTTGAACAAATACATGTACAATTGTTTGGATTTGTTATAACTGGTATACCAATTCCACAGTTTAATGATGAACAATTATTAATTAATGTTTGACAAACAACACCTGTATATATTGGTGGACAAAGACAAATAAATGATGTTGTTTGTGAAACACATGTACCTTGATTTTGACATGGATTCGATGAACACCAATTTATATTTAATTCACAACGAAGACCACCATAACCAATTGGACAAAAACATTGATAACCAAGGCTATTATTTAAATTTGAACATATACCATTATTTAAACAGGGTTTTGATAAACATGGTTGAATTATATTCGTACAATTGATACCATCATAACCTTCTCTACATATACATTGATAACCATTTAATGTTTCTATACAACTACCATTATTTTGACATGGCATTTGTGTACAAAATGAATCTCTTAATTGACAAAATGATCCATGATAGGATGCTGGACATGAACAATTAAGTAAACCTGGTCCAATATCATAGCATATACCACCATTTAAGCATGGGGATGATTGACATGCTTGAATACGTATAGCACACGTTGTACCTTGAAAACCATATGAACATTGACATGCATATGTATTTATTTGATTTATACATGTACCATTATTTAAGCATGGATTTGATGAACAATAATTTATTGTTGAATCACATCTTTGACCAGTATAACCCGGAAAAC